AAGTGTGGTCCGGAGAACTAGCTAAGGACAACGATAAGCTACGAGCATTTAGATGCAATGCTTACTTTCACGTGAAGGAAAACAAATTGGATCCACGAGCCAAGAAATCTATCTTTATGAGAGTCAATGGTGGTGTGAAAGGCTTCCGAGGTTGATGTTCCGAGTTGAACAAGATTATAGTGAGCAGAGATGTGACATTCGATGAGGGAAGATGTTTAGATAGTAGAGCTTGGGGAACAAGTAATCGTGAATTCACAACCAAGTGAGGAAGTTGTGGAAGAAGAAAGACAAGGTGATTAACTTGAACATGAAGAAAGTGATCATGAAGAAGAAACAAAAGAATTTAAAGATAGAAGGTGCTTGCATAGCCAAAAGGAAACGAAAAAGAGAAATATCCTTACTTGCGAGATACAAGGATTGCACGGCATGCATGGTATATGCACTACCAGTAATTAAGGCTGAAATTCCCACTAATTTTGAAGAAATAGCAAATAGTGAAGAAGATAGTAGATAGCATGATGCAATGGACAATGAGAAAGGTAAAACAAAGATTGGTTTGTAAGCTCAGAAAAATCTCTGTATGGTTTAAAGCAGTCACCCAGGCAGTGGCATTAAAGATTTGACAAGTTTATGAAGTATCAAGACTATACAAGAAGTCACTATGATCACTGTGTTTATCATAAGAAGTTGAAAGATGGTTTGTTTGTGTACTTGTCAATCTATGTGGATGACATGCTCATAGCCTCAAGCAATATTCTAGAGATAGAAAAGTTGAAGGAACAAATGATAAGGGAGTTCGAAATGAAGGATCTCAATGAAGCCAAGAAAATATTGGGAATGGAGATCACAAGGGATAAATAGAAAGGTTTGGTGTGTTTGTCTCTGAAGTAGTATCTTTCGAAGTCGTAACAAAGGTTTGGAGTAACAAAAAACACTAAGCCAGTGGAAACTCCCTTGGTGCTCACTTCAAGTTGAGCAATTAACAATGTCCCAAAATTGATGAAGGAAAGATGAAGATGGAAGGTTTCCATATGCTAATTTGATTAGAGGATTAATGTATGTGATGGTTTGTACTCATCCTGCTATTACACACGCAGCTAGAATTGTTAGTAGTTCATGCATAATCTTGGAAGAAAGCATTAGAATGCTACTAAGTGGATACTAAGGTATTTAAGGGGAATGACGGACAAAGGTATTTGTTTTGAAAGAAGTGATCAAGGAATTGATAAGTTCTCAGTTGGATATGTGGACTCATATTTTTCTGGTGATTTTGACAAGAGGATATCAACGACAGGGTACTTGTTTACTATGGCAAAGGGTCCTAATGTTGGAGATCAATACTATAACCAACGATGGCACTATCAACCACAGAAGCAGAATACATGGCGATTGCTGAAGCTATCAAAGAAGCAATATGGACTATGGGGTTGTTGATAGGAGCATATTCATGCGACTTAATTAGCTTGTTCTCGTGCATTTATGTTGTGTTTACTTAGCTATTTTAGTGTTTAAGGCTACTTTTGTGTATTTTCATATTATAAGGCCAAAGTGTGCAAGAAGATGCAAATTGGAGTCTTTTGGAGCGAAAGAGGAATGAATGAGTTGAAGACTTGAAGAAACGACGAATTCCTACTCCAACGATGAATTCTTACCAAAACGAGGAATCCTACTCAAACAAGGTTTCCTATTTGATATAGGAAAGTTAACCCTAAGTTTCCCGTTTTGGTAACCTTTCCTAAACTTAAACGTCCGTATTTTCTAGCCACTTTGACGGCCTTGTATGCATTTTAGGACACAAAACCAAGGCCCGAGCCCAATTACACAACCTTGCCGTGCCTTAACCCTAATTCCCTTCCCTTGCCGTGCAAGGGGGGCACTTTGGTCCAATTTTATGTACAAAAGCCCTAACCCTAAACCCAAGCCGCCACCATCACCCACCACTCTAATTATTCACCCTAATAAACATAAAAAAATCATTCATTGCCGCAGCACCATATATCCCATTCATTCCAATTTTAATCAGCGACGATATCATTTTCTATTCCCCATGCAGCCGCACTATTTTTCATTGACTTCAACATTCACATATTTCCATTTTTTAGCCGTGCATGCCATCACTTTTCAGCCCATTTTCATTCTTAAAACCGTACCCTAATAAACCATTCCAAATCAGCCGCAAAAAAAGGGCCATTTACTTATTCCTCCTTGAGCCGCAAACTCCCATTCACCTTTTCTCCATCACAGCCGCAAACTCCAGCCACTCTCTCCCATTTTCCTCCCTAAGCCGCACCCATTCTCTACACAATTCGCAGCCACCAACACATCTCCATTCTCTAAAAAACTGCCGCAGCCACCATATCCCAGATTCTTCCAGCCGTGCCTTTTCCCATCAAACTCCAGCCAATTCCCAGCCTTGCCGCAACCATCCCCTCCACTCCAGCCATCTTCCACACCTCCATACACCTTCCTACCACCTTGCCGCACCACCACACTTCCCTAAATCCATCCCAAAGTCAGAAAAATCACCCAAATAAACCCACACAACATCTCTGCCGCAGCAAGGAGAAGAGGAAAGATGAGCTTGGACGCGCCGAAATTCAAGTGGATTCGTTGGGCGTTCTAGGTGTAATCAATCCTTTGTGCTTTATGTTTAAATTCAATTGTATTTCTCTTTCTGTGAACATGAGAGGCTAAACCCCCTAGTTAGCCAGGGGGTGATTCGAAACCATGATTATATATGTGAAATAAGTTGATTACTTCCAGTTATTGTTGCATAAGTTTTGAATACAATTTGCTTAACCGTTTGATTTAGAACTTATTCTTGTATGTTGATTGAGAGTGCACGCTTAATTTGCATGCTTGAATTTGATGCTAGGATATAAGTTTGTTTCACCTAATCGTTATGAATTTATATTCACAAGTAGTGAAGGTTACTAGTCACGATCATGTTAAGTAGATTCCTGGCAAGCGTATCATGCTTTTCATAGTTACAAATGCCTTGTCGATGCTTATGATTTCCAAAGAACGTAATGATTCTAACTTATATCTTTATCATGCTGTTCATATAGAGAATTTGTTAGGAATAATTTGTTTGCGATGCATATTCATCCAATTCAATGATTCTAGGGAAATCTGAAGGTTAATTTAAGCGGACCTAATTAACTTGGAGTGTCGAGGTTCATAACTTATTGGATTGATAATTGGAAATTGATTTACATTGCATATATTTCATGTGTGGAGAAGAACCCCTTAGCTATCCCATCATCCATTGATTCATCCAAATTTTGTCTTAGAATCTATTTTCTTTACAATCTGCCCATTTAGTTTAAATTCATCCAACCACAATCCCCCCATATTTTGTTGAGTCGTAGTCATTCGTATTTGTTTTATTTTGTGTTTTTAAGCATTTGGAGTCATAAACACTTTCAAATTCGACCAAATTAAATTTTAGTTTTTGTGTTTTTGAGTCAATTCAAATTAGATTAGCACCCTTAGTTAATCCCCGGTTAGAACGATCCCTACTTACTTCATTACTACAATTGTCACAAATAGGGTTTAATTTGTGTGTCAACATAAGTTACACATCAGTTGTTAGGAGACTTAGGTGTGGAACAACACAAGTTGGATGTATATTATGACAGGCAAAGTGCCATTTGTTGGCCAGATATCAGGTACATCATGCTAGGACTAAGAACATTGATGTACGATACCATTTTGTGAGAGAAGTAGTAGTTGAAGGTGAGATTCATCTCAAGAAGGTTGCTACAAAAGATAATCCAGCTGACATGTTGACAAAGATGATTAATGCAATCAAGTTTGAGTACTACTTGGATTTGGTGCATTTGAAGCCAGTTTGATCTTACGATATGGTGGAGCAATGGAACCTGTTGTTGGATGCCTCGTATAGATTTCATGCCAAGGCGGAGATTGTTAGATTTGGCATTAAATCAACATGCCTAAACTAAAATAGGAATCAAAGAAGGATTGGATATCTTCGACGCAAGATATTAGTATGTATTTTTCCTAGTTTGGTTGGGATTTAGTTTTAATATAGGACTATATTCTAGGGACTTTATGTAAAACCCACGACATCTATTAGTATAAATAGATGGCTGTAGGATAGGGTTTATGGGAGAAAAGTTTGAGAGGCATTAGTTTGTATATGAGAGAACATTGTGTGTTTGTGAGTTCTCTTGTATTCATTGGTAATCAATAAAGCTTCCGTTGTTAGAGGTACTCCTATATTAAAGGAATTCTGAAATTGTTTTGTGATTTGTTTATTGCTTGATTGTTTTTTTTTGGTTTAGTTCACAATAGATACAAGGTCCAAATGTTGCCCAATGTGTTTCCTAGGTTGAACTATTAGTTCAACATAGCGATGAGGACATGGCGGGGATCTATAAGAAGACAAAAGTTGAAATTCGTTTTGAAGCAAATGGAACTCGAGGAGCAACAAAAGATTAAATCTTAGTACCACAGAATTGGGAAAAAGGAACTATTTAGGAAGCTAAATATTGTACTCGGTGTCACAAAATTTAGTTTTGGCACCTCTATAGTCTTAATGCGAGGTTTTCTTCATGCAGAACATTCACCCTATTAATGTTATAATATAAAAAATATTGTTAATTTGTTGGTGTAGATTCCCACGCCAAAGTGCTAACTAATGACGTCAACTAATACAGCCATTTTCTTACCTAGCTAATACAGCCAGTACAATTAATTCCGTCGAACCAAATGCCAGAACAAGTCCTCACAGTAGTCTTTTTTACAATTCCATAAAGGAATCGAATGCCAGAATAATTTCTCACATTATCTTTTTTGACAATTCCGTTGAGGAATCGAATGCCAGATTAAGTCCTCACATTAATCTTTTTCACAATTGCCCAAGGAATCGAATACCCGAATTAGTCCCCACTTTCGTCTTTTCCAATCACATACTACGTTGGGATTCTCTGTCGTACTACGTTGTCTCTCTCATGCATTCGTCTCATAATCTTCTGCTAAGAAAGTTCTTCCATTTTCATTATTTACTCCATTTCAAATTACACCTGCCTGTATTGTTTAGTTTCTTCATCACAGAACCTTCTTTTTCTTTATTAATCTACTTTGATTTACTTCTAAAAGAGAAAAACTTGGAACTGAAAACCAGAAAATAAAACAAAAACATTTCGTTCTATCAATTTCGTTGTTTTCTTGTCTCTTGATTTCATTTTCTGCCAATTTCAACTTCCTGTTGATCGGTTTTACTTGAAAAGGGAAAACAAAAAGCATACATACTTTGTTCAGCTTCATTTACAGACCGATTGTGCTCTGGCATTTTGTAGGCAAAGGAATCTGGAGAGAGAATGTAGAAGGTACGTCTTTTGATTTTTCCTAGTTTTTATTTCCTTCTGCTCTTTATAGGTCTTTTTTAGTTGTTTATGCGAACAAAGCTACGAACCTCTTGTGAATGAACACTGATGAGTCTCCCTGTGAACAAAGCTATGAACTTCTTCCTTGTTTGGTTGTTTCGGGGGGGGGTATCGAGGTGATAAACGTCGTGGGCTCGACGAGGGCTTCGATTTTGATATAAAGATTCGTCGAAATCAGTGACTGAATAGGAACTACTTAACATAGAAAATTAGAGACGGGTTGTAACAATCCTTGTTAATTTCTTTTCTTCAATCTATTTCTCAAATGGGTGTATAATCCATCATATTTTAATTAGCAAGGAAATGGACGATAATTTTTTTATTCTCAATAGATTAGTGAATTAAGACAAACTCTAATTCTCACAAATCGCGAATGACGCTAAGTAGTATGTCATGACCATCAATACTTATTTAATTGGAATTACAATGTAATATAACCTTTCTCTAATATCAGTACTCTATGTCACATTGGTTTAGGCCATCATGTAAGATGCCCCAAGGTTTTAAAAAGCATTAAAGGCTAGTTGGGCGGCGGCATGGCCTAGCACCTAGGTTTCTAGGTGGGGCTTAGGCATATTTTTTGCTTAATTTTAGTTAAATTTATTATATAACATATATATAAATGTCTACTTACACTTAAAATAAATACATAATTGTATCAGGATACATAAATTACAAAATAAAATAACATAATTATAAATTGCTGGAACATATTGAAAACATGAGGACAAATGTATAATAAGTGTTCATCTAAGTATCAAACAAGTATTTTACAATTTATTGAAAAATATAAAAGGGTAAATTACATTTTCATACCTCAGGTTTGGGGCCTATTTCAATTCCTTACAACATTTTCAAAACATTTTACTTTCATACCTTAAGTACTATTTGATCCGTTAAATGCTGACGTGGCTGCCAAATGTCTGCCACGTGGCCCAAAAAAAATAATTTTTTAATTTTTTTTTAAAAAAAACCTAAATCTTCTAAAAAAAAAAAAAAAAAAACCAAAAACAAAAGCTAAACCCTCAACCCCCATCCCTCCCCCCCCCCCCCCCCCCCAAAAAAAAACCCAACTTGCAACCCATAAGAAGAAGAGGAGAGGGGAAAAAAAAAAAACCCATCTTTCATCTTCCTCCCCCTCCTGTCTTCCCCAAACCCACTGTGCACCCACCCTCCACCTCCTCCTCCGCACCCACTACCAGCAACCCAGAAAAAAAAAAAACAAAAAACCCAGAAAAGAAAAGAAAAAAAAAACTGCCCATTTCCATACAACCCAGATCCAGTCTTCCCTAATGAGTGTGGATTTAAGGAGTGGGGTGTGCAGAGGAGGGAAGAGGGTGCGTGCAAGGGTGGGTGTGGAGGGTGGGTGCGCTGGGTTTTTTTTCTTTTTCTTCTTTTTGGGTTGTAGGTTGGGCTCAGGTTGGAAGGGTGAGACGACGGATGAAAGATGATGAGGCTCCGACACCCAAGGGGGTGTTTGACGGGATCTGGGAAGGAGGGTGTGCAGGATCTGGGTTTTCTATTTTTTTCTTTTTTTCGGTTGAAGGTTTACGTATGGGGGGGGGGGGGGGGGGGGGGGGGGGGGTTTCTAGGGGTGATGGGATCTAGTTTTCTAACTTTTTTTTTAAATTAAATTTTTTTTTTTGCCATGTGGCAGACATTTGGCAGCCACATGGCATATATGTGGCAGCCACATCAGCACTTAACGGATCAATGGATGGAAAATGTAACAGAGGTATTATTTTGAAATAAAGTAGTACTTAAGGCATGAAAGTGAAATGTTTTGAAGATGTTGTAAGGAATTGAAATAGGCCCCAAACCTGAGGTATGAAAATGTAATTTACCCAATATAAAATGCCAAATATAATTTATCTATTTTTTGTCTAAGTGAGAATTGCGACTTTGGCGGTTTAGACGAGTGTCTAGGCAGATCTAGGCGCCCTTTTTATTTCTTTTATATGCCTAGAAATTAATCGTGGTGGTGGCCAGCCGTTTAACGCCTAGGCAAGGCCTAAGCGACGCTAGGTGAGGACTTTTAGAACACTGCATTTGCCTAAAGTTATCCACCTATGATTTCGTCAAATATGGTTGTCATCTGTCATTGATTTATTCTTTTTTTTTTTTTGGTCAAAAATTGTTTTTCTTAAAGTAAATTTTGGAGGGGTTTCTTTGTTCTCTTATTTTGATTGAAAGATTCTCCATTGGATAAATAAATAAAAAAAAAAAAATTTGGGTACAACGAGACTAAATCTAGACTTTATTGGTTGCAACGCATTGACAACACATGATTGCGGCGACCTTGAGATTTTATATGCAAACGTATAATATAGAAAAAGAGTTGTTATTGACAATTTAAAATATGTATTGTAAGTGGTCATTTACCACAATGATAGGGATGAGTATTGCCCTGACACCAATCATGTTGACTCCCTAATCTAAAAAATTCATCGTTTGCCAAAAAAAAAAAAAAAAAAAAGACAATTTAAAATAAGCATCATGTTGCATGATGCTATATAACCTGTATTATTATCACGCCTCGAATTCGAGGTCAACGAAAAATTAAACCTCGTGCCAGTTGCACGAATAAAAAAAAGTAACAAGAAAATAAACATCTCTTAATTTACATTGCAAAACTTTCTCTACACTTCCCGTGACAGTCGACTACCTTTTCAAGATTCACCTGTTAAATATTCATAAGGGATGAACGGGTGAGCTTAAATACAACAATGCATTTGATACATGGAAGCAATAATAATGTTTGTATGTAATGTTTCCTCTTTACTCTATTTTGTTAACCCATTTAACAGATAAATCCATTTCTCATTTCATTAATCATCTTGTCAAACTCTCAGTCCCCAAATCTAAAATCCGATTTGATCATTTGATCAGACTTTAACAAAAAATTGTTGAGATTAAATTTTCAAGATATGACATAGGGTACAACAGTAAATACATTATAATCTTAATTTATTTTGTTATTTTTCTTCGCGACATCTTCAGAGAATGTCGTTTGATGATCAAATGCAAAATTTCAACAAGACAAAGGAAGCCATCAAGGCTAAGATTGGGGCAGAGGCTGCAGCCAAGCTTTGCAGTGAAGCCATCTACTCTTTGAAAAATAAGTAAAGGATTATAATTAGGCAAACAACATTGATCAAAATCAAGGAAAATTGTGAACCATTAAGATTATTAACAATAAAAAATTTAAAAATAATGTGTATGATTCTAATTCGCGTGTTTATTAACAACTACGGAGTTATGATATTATCATGGGAGGATAGTTTATTCATACAAGTTGTGTGACATCCCACATCGCCCAGGGGAGTGATCCTTAAATGTATATTCCCATCTCTACCTAGCACGAGGCCTTTTGGGAGCTCACTGGCTTCGGGTTCCATAGGAACTCCGAAGTTAAGCGAGAAGGGGGCTAGAGCAATCCCATGATGGGTGACCCACTGGGAAGTTACTCGTGAATTCCCAAAAACAAAACCGTGAGGGAATGGTAAGCCCAAAGCGGACAATATCGTGCTACGGTGGTGGAGCGGGCCCGGGAAGTGGTCCCACCCGGGCCGGGATGTGACAAATTGGTATCAGAGCCAATCCCTGGCCGGAAATGTGCCAACGAGGACGTCAGACCCCTAAGGGGGGTGGATTGTGACATCCCACATCGCCCAGGGGAGTGATCCTTATATGTATATTCCCATCCTTACCTAGCACGAGGCCTTTTGGGAGCTCACTGGCTTCGGGTTCCGTAGGAACTCCGAAGTTAAGTGAGAAGGGGGCTAGAGCAATCCCATGATGGGTGACCCACTGGGAAGTTGCTCGTGAGTTCCCAAAAACAAAACCGTGAGGGAATGGTAAGCCCAAAACGGACAATATCGTGCTACGGTGGTGGAGCGGGCCCGGGAAGTGATCCGCCCCGGGCCGGGATGTGACAAGTTGTTATTGGGTAAGAGGAGCTCTTGCTTATTTTTAAGCAGACAAGCTTTGTTCTTCTTCATATTCCCGTTCCTTTTCATAACAAGTAAACATGACGGACAATCAACTTTGCTTCATCCAGTTTCAATTAAATAATTAAAGTTTCTGAGTTAGGGACTGGCTGGGCATGTGTTTTGGAGCAAAAGATTGCGAAGTATGTGTATCTGTTTGAAGAATATCGATGTGTCAGACCAAAAAAATTAAATATATTGTGCTTATTGAAATGTTATTAGGAGAGCTTATTGAAATGTTATTAGGAGAGCAATTTATATTACACGAGTAATACTATCATTATAACATCTCATGCCAAATTCAAAGACAATAATAAGTTTTTGTCTACATAACATTATGACGTTGATACAGGATGTCGCAGTGACAATATACACGTATTATCTAAGCTCTTCTCGTGATTAAACACCAATAAAAAAATGTGTGGAAAGGAAAAATCAAATGCATTGGGCCTATTGTCGTTGTCACATTGCAGATGTTGAACCAAAATCATGCACCGTCGCGGACGAAGAGGTATGTAAGTCCAACCACCTACAAGAAAGCAAACAATTGTGATTAACTCATGGTACCGGTGTGGTACCTGCCAAAAGCTCTTCGACTGTCAAATCAGAAAGCAATATGAAGACTTAAATAGTGGACGAGAAAATATAGAGTATGCATGCGTAGATTGCATTTACCAGAGATGTGCCATAGATAAGGGTATTTATACTAGTTGAGATAGAAACCTTATAAAATAATGATTTCGTATTAAACTATGAGAATCCAAGAGGATATCTAAGACTAAATATTGTTTCTTTTTAGGAGTGTGATTACTTGCGGCACACACCAATCCATAAATCGCAAGAATCTCCAAGAATATAGGAAACCTGTCTGATCCCCAATCGGATCAACTTTCTATGTCTTACGAAACAAGAATAGTCGATCTTAGTGAAGTCCAGAATAGTTGATCTTTGCGA